TTAAAGGGAGCAAGAAGATAAGACTAAGAGACCATAATCTAGGCAGAATGCATAATGGTTTGGATATACACATATATGGGGAAAAGGAGATCCATAATCTTCATGGCTTTTTCATAGGGGTCTATGACACAAAGGGTAAGAAATTGAAACATTGGTTCTCAAACTGTGTTCTTAAGAATCATCAGCTGAGAAAATTTCTGGGCTTTGTCATTAGAGTTTTTACTTTACTGCAATGGGGTGGGGCTCAGAAAACTTCCTTTTCAACAAGCTCTCACGATTATTCCAAAATTAAATTCAGTGAACCACAATTTGAAAAGTCTCAACCTAAGAACTAGACTCAAGTATACTTTTCTTTTAGTTTTCTATTGCTGCGGTAACAGATGACCACAAATTTAGAGGCTTAAACAACACGAATTATTATTTTATAGTTCTATAGGATGAAAATCTGACGTGGGAGCTCAGTGGGCTAAAATCAAGATATCAGCATGTGTCTATTTCTGGAGGCTCTAGGGGAAGAACTTTCTCTACCTTTTCTAGCTTCTAGGGATCATCCACATTTCTTTGCTGAAGTTCCCTTCTCCACCTCATCAAAGCCAGCAATGTTGCATCTCTCTGAACTGTCCCTAAAGTTAACTCATTCTTCAGCAGTCTCCCTTTGACTCTAATTTTAAGAACTCTGTGATCACACTAGATCCACCCTAATAATGCAAGATACTCCCCATCTTAAGGTCAGGTGATGAACAATCTTAATGCCACCAAGAGCATTAATTCTTCTTTGCTGAAAAAAGTGGTCACAGATTCCAGGGATTAAGATTTGGGCTTCTTTGGAAGGTCATTATTCTGCCTATACCACATGTTCCTTTACAGTACCCAGGAAAAATAGCAATTTTTCTCTAATCTTATGTTTAATAACTTAGTTAATGAGCCTTCTATACTTGCTGTTTTCGAATTATCTGGTCAGTAGAATTAATAATCACTGGAATTACTGAACTGAAACTATGTTTAACTTCCTATTATTAATAAATAGCACTTAGTCACACCCACAGGCCTAGAAGTTCCTTGAAGTCAGGCACCATGTCTTGTCTTCTTTCTTTCTGCGACTTTTATTTGTATTTCTTGTCAAGGAATAGACACACAGCTGGACAATTGTGATTATTAATTATGTTCATAAATTAATAAAACCAAAGGCCCACTCTTTCTTTTAATAACGCTTCCAACAGCAACTAATAGCATGATTCAGATTCTTCTCATATTAAGCTTACCAATTGCCATGTATCGCAGGTTTGGTGGTATTCTTAAATAAGTAAATTATCATTATTTAATTACTGCATTTCAAGAGTCTGAAACATTATGCTTGCTATTTTGGGTAGCTAGCCGATAATACATTTTAAACAGTTAGGTTCTGTGTGTGAGAAGGATGATCTCTTAACAAGTGATTATTTACTATTATTAACAATAATAGTAACTAGTCAGTGTTAGACCCTACACTGGATTTTTACACTCAATAGATCAGAAAAAAAAATTTGGAAATCTTCCAAACACATTACATAGTGGTAACTGGAATTTCAGACTAAGGAAGCAAAGGGATAATAGCAATCCTTTTTCACATCATTTTTCAGGCTAAATAACAATAAACCATAATATTTAATTTCTAGCCAAAATAAAAACTAAAAAAAAAAAAAGCCCATTCAGTTTTACATCAAGAGGAAGCCATTTATAAGCTCAATTTGAATTATACTATCCAACAAGCCACTCTCAGACTGCTTTTTATTTTTTACACATAGCTTGTCATCCACTTAGATCCTCTACTTAAACTTTCAATAGATTAAAACTGTATTTAGAAGAAAATCAAAACTTCTTTCTGTGGCTCACTAGGAACCACATAATCTGCCTCTCCCTCTCCGTACATCTGCACCTCACTTTGCTCTCCCCTCACTAACTTGGCTGCAACAACCCAGCCTTTGTGTTCTTCAAACAAACTCCTTGCTGCCTTGGGCATTTATCATGGCTGTCATCCTCTCTTCCTACTGCTTTGCTTGGCAATGGAGTCTCATCTTTAGATAAGTTTAAGTACCAGTTTTCCAGAGAAATCTTCCTGACTATTATAACTAAACTAGATTCTCCTTGCCACCCTGAGATTATCTACCAGAGCACCCTTACTGTTTCTTCCCAAGCACTTAGTGTGATTTGTATTTATTAGTTTGTTTACTTGCTTACTGTTTATCTCATTGTGGGGCAGGGCATTCACTGTTGTGTTCCTTGAACACAGCATTGTATCTGTAGTCAATAAATACATTTTGGAACATTTTCCCCTCAAAGATAAGATATGAAATTACACCAGTATGTTATATCTGTGAATAGAAGATTCCCTAGAATGGAAATGATCTGGAACCTTAAGCTTTGGCCACACTATGTTTTCTGAGCATCTTTGTTTATTTCAATAGATTTCTTGTTCGGTTTGTATTATATTTAACTGTACATTGAAATGATTCAACATAAAGAAACAACAACTACTTACAATTCAAAGTCAAGGATCTGCTTTGGCCCAAATTTTAAAGGCATGTTGGTTTTGGGATAGGGCCTAGGCTTCTGTATTTATTTTTAATTTTTTAATGTTTTATTTATTTCTGAGAGAGAGAGAGAGAATGAGTAGGGGAGGGTCAGAGAGAGAGGGAGACACAGAATCTGAAACAAGCTCCAGGCTCTGAGCTGGCTCTCAGCACAGAGCCCTACTGGGGGCTCAAATCCACGAACCAGAGATCAAGACCTGAACTGAAGTCAGATGCTTAACCGACTGAGCCTCCCAGGATCCCCTAGGCTTCTGTATTTTTAATAAGATTCTCAGATGATTCTGATTCATACCAAGGTTTGAGAACACCTGTTGAGTGTATACATGGTCCTATTATATGACTACCTATATCTGTAAATTTCATCAGATCTAACCTTTTGTTTAATATATGCTTGAGTATTTTAAACATTCAGATACTTCCTGACTTGGATATTTAATAAGTACATAATTAAGTATTAATATATTATTCCTGCTATTATATCTCTTATTCTTCTCTAGATGAGGCTTTATTCTTTCAACTTTATGATTCTGACATCCTGGATTTATAATATAATTAGGAATGAGAAATATAAGGTAGAATGTATAAAGTTACATCTTTTAAGAGTTTTAGATTAACTAGATAGCATTAATAAAATTGTTTTTTTTATTTTTTTAATATTTTATTTATTTTTGAGAGAGAGATAGAGACAGCATGAGCAGGGGAGGTTCAGAGAGAGAGACAGACACACACACACACAGAATCCGAAGCAGGATCCAACCTCTGAGCTAGCTTTCAGTACAGAGCCCGATACAGGGCTCGAACCCATGAACCGTGAGATCATGAGATCATGACCTGAGCTGAGGTCGGACGCTTCAGTGACTGAGCCACCCAGACACCCCTATAAAATTGTTTTAAAATAAAACTAATCATATAAAGAAAGCAAGTTATTTGTATTAATTTGTAATCTTGCAATTATAAACTTTCAATACGAGAAATAACGGTTTCCAAATGTTTAGCTATTTGTTCTTGTTCTGTTGGTTCATATATTGCTTTTGATTGTTAATGTATGAAAAACATATGGGCTAATTATTGCCCTTGAGAGCCAAATTTTACATGCATGCAAACATGTACAATTGGGAATTTTGAAGTATAGTCCATTCATAATAAGCAACGTATAATCCTATTTATTCTTATCTTCCACCAGGTTTTTATTTCCCTTAAACACTCTAAGCCCTGGATATAGAGAAAAGTATAGTTTATTATATCGCTAAAGCAAATCTACTATATTAAGATTATAAAGTTCTTATCGCTTCTGTAAACAACCAATGGGGTACTAGGAAGAAATATTTGTAACATTTCAGACACTTATTGTTACTTAAATATACAGCACAGTACAATCTGTAACACTTTATTTAGAAGAGGTTTGATCCTTTTATTTAAATATGAAATAGAGACAGTTTTCACTTGATAATCTTTTAGATCTTTGCTTATTTTGGAATTGGTTTGTGAATATTTTGTTAAAATACATTTTATAGGCAAAGCACATTCCCTATACTCATGAAAAGAAAACTGTCTCCTACCGAGTTTGCTATATTTGAGCTAAGGAAGTGGTACTTATAAAATGACAAAAGCATGGCTATTTTATTTGTGGTCTAAGTGACCTGAAACCCTAGAATATAACTTCTCAAACCCTCTTCTATTTAGATAGTCAGTGTCAAGTCTTAGTGATGTTATTGCCTATTTCTAGAAATGGTAGTAATTTTGATTTAGAGTCATCTGCCACTAATAATACTCACATTTCATCTAAGGTTAATATCACTCTTGAATCCTGAGCAAAATAACAAATGTACTTTCCTTATTTCACATTTATTTTAGACAAGTGACAATCTTCCTCAACTACTTCCCTCTACCCAGTCCTAAGATTTTGTTAGAGGTGAGATAATTTAAAATGCTCAGTGGAGACAGAGAGATTTATTTAAAAAATAATAATTCCTGGGGCTCCTGGGTGGCTCAGTTAGTTAAGTATCTGACTTCACCTCAGATCATGAGCTCACAGTTCGTGAGTTTGAGTCCCACAATGGGCTCCATGCTGACAGCTCAGGGCCTGGAGCCTGCTTTGAATTCTGTGTCTCCTTCTCTCTCTGCCCTTCCCTCTCTTGGGCTCGCTCGCTCTCTCTCTCTCTCTCTCTCTCTCTCTCTCCTCGTTTGCTCTTTCTCTCAAAAATGAATAAGCAAAAAAACCTTTAAAAATAATAATTCCTTCATTTTTCATGTAAACACATTATATCATACTAAACCTAAAATATATTTGACAGCTCTATCAGCTACTCAATTAGTAGTTTTAAATAGTCTACAATGTGGAACAATAAACTGCATTTTGGTATGAGTGAATAGCTTTTATCTACTTTCTGTGCTCTAATTCACATTTTGATGTACTTTTGATGTTGCTAGATATCCGTGGAATACAGGAGTTTTTGGACAAAGTATCTCAGCAGGGAATGGATGTTGCACTGCAGAAGGTAGAAAACAACATCAATAAAATGATCACCACTCTCTTTGACACCTTGAGAATAGAGGAATTGAATCGCTATCGAGACACTCTTAGGCGAGCCATCCTTGTTATGAATCCTGCTACTGCCAAATCCTTCATCACTGAGGTAAGTAACAATTGTCATGGGGTTGTGGTAGGTGAAAAACTAAATGCTTTGGAAGAAACCTCACAGACAAGTTGAAAATTAAGTGCTGGAGAGTAAACTACACAACTCTCATTAGCACTAATAGAGTAAGTAACACACTGAATTCCTTGCTCATTGCATTTATCCCCTACTCATTGCATTTATCCACTTAATTGCTGAGAATATTTGTATTTATATATTTAAGCACACAGCCAAGACGGTTTTAAGATATCTCATGGGAGTTCAAAACTGTTGTTCACCCTGAATTACTTTAACATGTTCTAAAGTCTCTAACCAATCCTTTAATTTTTGCAAGTCAGAATTTTAACTCAAAGAAAGATATACTTCAACCAGGCTATTATTGCCTGAACATGATTAATTTTTAAAAATATAGAGCAAGTTTACTTCTGTGAACTTCTGTGTACTCTGTAAACCTGTCTGAAACTCTACAAAGTCATGACCAGTGTACATTGCATGATGTTGCATTTTCAAAATCTTAATTGTGTCTATTCATTTACTTAGAAGCTCCAACACTTTGTAAAAATACAATTAAGACTTTTTAACAATTGCTATAACACCTTTATATTCTAAACTGATTGTTATTGCCCTGTCAGGATTATTGTTATTTTACTTCACATTTTTAATATTATAATGCTAGAACTTGTCATGACATTACATACTTTCACATGGGTTTTATTATTAGTGTTTTTAATTTTGGTGACTTTATTTGACTAATACTTTTTTCCTCACTTCTCTAGTAAGCTTTCTTTAGCTCTCAAAGTACTGTTATAAGGCCTCCAAATTAGGAATGTGTTAGAAATTCTTTGACACTCTATAATATAATTGGTGTCAAGGAACTGAAGCAGAATATAAATCACTAAGAAGAATAAAACTTTTGAAAAACTATCAATAATGCCATTTTTAACATTTTAATAGAGAACTTTGTTATGCAGTTAAGGACAAATGTAGAACACTGACCTTTTCTAATCTATCAAATTACTCAGAGTCTCATTGAACAATGAGATTTGTCTGCAATAGAAAGAATATTTCTAATTTTACAGGAGTTGTTTTTTTCTGTCAAGATTCACAAAATCTGCTAGAAAAATTAAGACAAAGTCACAAAGATATATAACTTAAATTGGAATCTTTTTTTTTTTTTAATTTTTTTTTTAAATGTTTTATTTATTTTTAGGAGAGAGAGAGAGAGACAGCGTGAGCAGGGGAGGGTCAGAGAGAGAGGGAGTCACAGGCTGAAACAGGCTCCAGGCTCTGAGCTGGCAGTCAGCACAGAGCCCGACGCGGGGCTCGAACCCACGAACCGCGAGATCATGACCTAAGCGAAAGTCGGACGCCCAACCAACTAAGCCACCCAGGTGCCCCTTAAATTGGAATCTTAAAATCATAATAAATGAGGCTGAAGCATATATGGTCATCTTTGGTTGCGGGTTGTGGAGATCAGAGAAGGCTTGTTGAGAAGGCACATTTGAATTGGACTTATTAACATGAGTTGGAATTCACAAAAGAAGTGTGTTATTCAACAGACAAATACAAGTCCATCTCAGCCAGTTTCTTCTAGTCATGTGGGGTTGGCAAATTGCTCAACATTTCTGAACCTCCATTTTGTCATCAATAAAATGAGAATACTATCCTGGTTTCAACCTAAACAATTTGTAACATAATGAAACATCCTGTATTATGCCTTAAGGGAGGTTAAAGGGTGGCGCCTAGTAGGTACTTAAGACATGCTAAGTTCTAGATCATTTTTTCTAGCATGTAGCACATTCCTGATCACAGCAGATGCTCAAAAATTACTTGGTGAGCTGAAAAGAATATGAAGATGTGCAAAGACACAGTCCTTGATTGTATACTCAGAATAGAGCAAGTAGTTTTGTATAGATTCAAAGTAGGATACATGAAAAAGAGAAGTGACACACTATGTAAAACATGGATTGCAATCAGATGGCAAAGGTCCGCAAGTGTCAGGTTACAGTTCATATATATTTACTCAGCAGTTAGAGGTAACAGGCTAAGAAGAGAGACAAGAAGATCAGAGCTTTTGCCAAATAATGATCTTTGCTTGTATTCTGACCACAGCCCCCATCCTTGACTCTGAACTTTGATACTTGTAATAATCTAATGTTTCCATCTTTGTTCCCAAACATATAGAATATATATTTTTGTGATTTTCCTCAGACTTCTCATCCTTTCTTTGCCCAGACACCATTCCTCCCTCCCCCCACTCACCTGTCTTTCACAATCACTGGTTTTACGTCTCCAAACTGTACCATGTTTATTCTCTACCCTCAATGGCAGGCAGAATGTTAACCCACCCACCTTTCCCATCCTAAGCTAGCTATACTAGCTTTGACCTCTAGAGTGGGTTCTATTTTCACTTGACTCTTTTCAAAAACCAATCAGCTTGCTTCTGCTCTCCCACGGGTTCCAGGAGCCTTTCCCCACTTAGGAAATAGACGGGCTCTTTAGTACTAGAAACAATTAATTCAAAAGGCAAGCAGCATGGAATTCAGAAGGCATGCCACATCAAAGGTCTGGAGATACAAAAATAGTTCTTGATTTAGAGGACCACTTGATCTAGTGGAGGAGGCAGGCTTATAACTAAATAATAAAATATGAAAGACAAATGTTATAATAGTGAGGAGTAAATGGTCCCTTTGGTAGAAGTGAGAAACTCTGCAGGGAGCTAGCATTCGGCAGGAAAAATTTCACAGATAATTTGCTTTACCAGAATTGTGCAAAATTATTAAGAATTTATTAGGCAGACAATGATAGGCAATTAGCAATTCAGTGTGTGTGCATGTGTCTGCGTGTCTGTGTGATTAACGGACAGAGTTTTAAAAATCAAATATAAGTGGAGATTTTGTAATAAAAAAAGCAAGAATCCCTTGGTCTACCTTTTTCTATCTCCAGTAATTATTTTCAGAATGAATTATTTTAATTTTTAAAATTTCATTTTTATTTGTTTTTGGAATACTCTACACATTCACATGACTCAAGATTTAAAAGTTTTAGAAGGATAACCTTCTACCACTATTTCTCAAACACCAGTTATCTTCTCAAAGGAAAAAAAAAATACATGTCTTATGTTCCAAGTATATACATATACATGTAGTTTATACATCATACATATACCTTTTCATTTTTTATTACACAGATAGTGACATATTACATATGTGCCTGAATTGTTGTTACTTAGTAACATCTAAGAGCTCATTCCATTGAGATCTATGAAGTGTTCTTTATAATTTTTAATGGTTATATAATATTTCATTAATAGATGGAGTCACTGTGAGGTTTTTTTCCCCATTTTTACTTACTCTAGTGAGTATTTGAGCTGACTTATTATTTTATCATCTATCTGTTTCATTTTTGATATTATAAGTGAAGACTTACTTCATTGACTTCACCAATATTCACAACCTCTTCTCACCTTACTCCGGCTTTTCTGCTTTGGAGAAAGCATGGTTCCCCTGATGGTCACTTCATGGCTCTTGCAGTCTTCTGCCTGCCTGTTACTTTACTTTTATATCGTGTTAGGAGCCTATATATTCTCCTCTATGACCATAAATAAATCTTTCATGGCTTGGCTAAAAGTTAATTCTATAGGATGGAAATCTATATATGTGCTTATACTTGTAATACTATGAATAATTTTCACTGCACAATGAAGTATTAGGATATGATTTGTTGAGGGTTTTTTCTCAGGTGTTTCATTTGAGTTACTACTTTCTTAGATTTTTCTCCCTAATTATATATTTTTTGGCTATGTAAAATCTAAACTCCTGTCTGAGACACATCTCCAAAATCCTCATTTTCTGTGTAAGGTCTTCCCTCCCAGAGCCCTTTCTTTCCTATGCAGTTTCTGGGACTTCCTCCAGCACCCACTTATCTGGGTCAGATCTACAAATTCTTGGATTTCATGCCTTCTAGTGTCTTAGTTTCCTATATTACTAGAGAATATCCTCAAATAACTACTGAAAGAAGGGTATGTGGAAGTTAGAATTTATCATTCTATTTATGAAAATATATTTGTTCTAACTTCATATTCATGAATAAGGTGCTAATTATAAACCTCTAGTTCAAAAATAATTTACCTCCGATCTTCAATAGCATTAATATTGTACTCTGCCCTTCAGTCAACTGAAAAGAAATCCAATGTATATTAGATCCTCATTTGTTTGAAGGTTGCTTGTTATTTGTGCTTTGAAACTTTTGAGAACTTTATTTTTAATGTTTTCAAATTTCACAATTACTTGTCTAAGTGGGTTTCTTTTACCACCCCTTTCACTCTGTGCTTGCTAAGGCTTTTTTTTTTTTTTTTCCTTTTAACATGCAAAGTATCTTTGACATCTCAAAGGTGACTCTTTAGAATTTATAAGGAAATGTTTTCTTATTTTCTCATATTATCTCTGTCTTTTCTAAGGTATTTTTTTCCTTACCTCATACTGCAGTTGTTTTAAAATGTTTTATGATCATTATTTGACATTAATATTTAGGAATTAATCAATAAATTGATTGAAAGTTGTACATACGAAGAGACCTTTTGGCTTATCCACTGCAAGCTTCCATTTAGACTGAAAAAATGGAACACTGCCATTTTGCTGGAAATGATATTAGATTTTATATGTATGTTTATGTGTGGTCTTTTTTTAGGATAATAATGCCAGCATTAATTTCCCCAATTTAGCCATGATGGTCTACTTGGTTGTTTTTAAAGTTTATTTACTTTGAGAGAGAAGGAGAGAGAGAAAAGAATCCCAAGCAGGTTCCACACTACCAGAGTGGACCCCTATGTGGGGCTTGAACTCACAAACCTTGAGATCATGACTTGAGCTGGAATCTAGAGTTGGATTCTTAACCAACTGAACCACCAAGGTACCCCATACTTGTATTTTTTAGAAAAGAATTATGTGTGTCTGTGTCTGTGTGTGTATATATACATATAAATGTCATTTTTCATGAGA